AAATAGACTCTAAGATTACTGCTGACTTTTACACACACACACACACACACACACACACACACACACACACCACAAACAAACTTATGCTGATTCCCCAGTGTTATAGTTTGAATGTGAAGGACCCCTCAAAGGTCCTGTTAATGCAGGAATATTCGGAAGTGAAATGACTAGATTATGAGAGCTATGACAATCAGTCCATCTAGTTTGAAATGATTATCTAGGTAGTAACTGTAGGCAGATGGGGGGTGGCTAGAGGAAGTGGGTCACTGGGGGTTTCCCCTGCAAGGGTGCATCTGCCCTGCACAACTTCCCTACCCCTGGTTGCTTCCTGAGCCTGCCAAGAGCTGAGAAGTTTTCCTCCACTGGTCCCTTCCCCCACGATGTGCTGCCTCATCTTGGGCTGAAAGCAATAGAGTTGACCATCTATGGACTGAAACCTCTGACACCAGGAGCCCCAAATAGACTTTCCTCCTCTAAATTGTTATTGTCAGGTTTTTTTGGCCATACTAATGGAAAAGCTGACTAAAACAATAAGGTTTTATTATTTTTTTTAATAACTGAACATGATCTTGTTATAATCTGATATCGGTCACTTGCATAACTACTTTGAGGATTATTTTTATTTTTATTAATGGTGCATTATAATATATATAATCGTGGGGTTCATTACCACATATTTATACAGTGCATAGCGTTGTAAATAGCTTTAGCTTCACTGTTTTGAGGCTACCATTTTAACGTGTTAGGCAGTCAGGTGTGTATACAATAAAGATTTTTGCCTTAAACAGACTTGGGTTAGAGCCCTGATAGCACTACCATGTGAACTTGGGAACACTATTTACTCTCCTCAAGCCTCAGCTTTGTTTGACAGAAGGTGAGAATGATAATATCTAATAAGTATAATATCTACCACAAAGAATTTTGGAGGTTAAATATTATCCATTAATAAATTTCTTCCCACATTGCTGACTCCTGATTTAAATACATTTAAATACAAGAACTTGATATTATTATGTTATTATGTGAGTTGAGTACAAACCACTTTCTCTGGTGCCTGTTAGGCATTGAGTGGAAATATTCAGTTGACAATAAGTATATGAGAGAAAAGTTAGGAGTGGAGTAATCCCCAAAGAAGATGCAGTATAGGCCTTTTTTGTTGTGTTCAATTATCCAATCCAAGACATCATACAGCATTTAGGAGTATTAGTATTTGATCAACAATCTTGGTGATAACATAGGTTCAAGTATATGAGTTTATAATTTAGATGTAAATATAGAAGAGCTAAGAGTTAGAGCAATTAAAAGTTTTTGTTTAAACTCTATATTTATGAGCATGCTACCTGAATCCAGTGAAAGTAGAATTTGACAATTAGGCCTGGGAATGGCCTCTTGTTTTAATTATTCCTAATAAAGGATTAGATTGAGGTTACTACCTGCAGCTTTCAAATTTTTCTTTCTTACGTGGAAGAACAGAATACATCTAGGACTCTTTTTTTCAGGATTAAGTTAACTGAAATGGCATCTGGAACTAAGTTTACAATAGAGAACTTCTTTGGTTTTCCTCAAAGGCCCATGTGCTTAGGGGTTGATCCCCAACTTGGCACTACTGGAAAGTGGTGGAACCTCTAAGGGGCAGGGCTTCAGGTCAAGAGGATCGTGGGAGCTGGATCTCTTTCTCTCTTTTCACTTCCTAGTCTTGAGGAGGGTGGTTTTGCTTTGCCACCCATTTCTGCCTGGTCACAGGCCCAAAGCAATGTGGCCAAATGATTGTGATGGAAACCTCCAAAAATGTGAACCACAATAAACTTTTCATAAGTTCATTTTGATCAGGTATTTGTTATAGTAATACAAAGCAAACATCATAATAAATTTCTACATAATGAAACAATGAAATTTAAATTTCACATTAAAATGTTGATTGGCCTCAGTTGAGCAATTCTCGTTCCTACTTTTGTGCCTTGTCAAAAGTCTCAACTCTCAGAGAGGCCTGCTTTGACAGTCCCAACAGAGATTTCCTCTGATTTTTTGCCCAAAGGGACCCTGTTCTTCTTTCTTGCTGGAGCAGATGTGTTATCTACTGCCTTCCTTATTGAATAGCCCTCAGTTTTTTCTTGGATCCCCAGTTTTTGCATAGGGTAGGCATATCCTTGGCAGAAACACTCCATTTGCCACCATTCCACAGGCCCAGAGGCAGCTGTGTGACTAGCCCATTCCAGGAGCACAGGCAAAGTCCCTGTGCATTCCTGCGAAATGTTTACTTTCTCCACTTACTTGCCACTGCTTCATCCTGGTTGCTCTTTCTTCATGGAATGCAGACTCCAAGCTTGGAGGTGTGATAGGTCCAGGAGAATGGAAGATACAGTGGATACGGTGACGGTGGAGCTGGAAGAGAGATGAGCCAAGGTCCCATAACATCTATGGGTCTCTGCATTAATCTGAGGTTACTTGCCTAAACTTGGGGGAAAAAACCAAAAACCTCATTTGTTAAAGCCACTGTATTTTTTTTTTTTTTTTGTAGCCAAACACATCCTAACAAATACAAGCTCTTTCTCTGTCTGTAAGTGTTTACTTCTTTTAGTACTGTCTTTTTTCTCAAGACTGTGCACATTGGGAAGAAAGAGATCATCACTTTTTTTTTTTTTTCACCAGCATGCATCATCACCTTGCGCAATGCCTGGCACATACAGAATTTTCCTCAAAAATTGTTCGAAAAACATTTACTGAAACAAGTCAGATTATTAACAGAAAAGTAAGGGAGAAAGTAAAATGCAGCCATGCAGAGGCCTCAGCTGCGGTGAAAACAAAAGCTGAAAATTGGAGACAGCCATGAGCACGATTGATACCAGAAAAGAAGCTAAAGCTTGAGTTCTTTCTGTCTTGTATGCAAACTCTCTCATCATACTCAAATTCAAACCAGTAACATCTTCCGGATGCAATTCAGAGGAGGTTGTTTGTTTTTGAAATGTCCTTGAGAGAGATATGGCACAGACATCTATAGAGTCAAAATAAAAAAGTTATGGTGGTGATCACTTCCCTTCTCTTCCTGCAAGCCCTGGACACACACACACACTCACATACACATCTTGACAAAAGAAAAAAAAGAAAAAGAAATCTAAAGACGGTCTTTATTTAGCCTCTCCTTAGACAATCATCTCTAAATTTCTACAAGTTCAATTCTATTGAATATGAAAGGCTTCCCACTAAATGACCTTATATTTGTTGTAGGTAGGAATGAAAAATTGACAGCATTATACTTCATATGAGCTTCTATCTGAGGTCTTTTACATCCCACTGCTCCCAAGTAGGTGGTTTGTTGGGCACTTTTGAATTATCTCTCAAAATTATGAAGATAGAGAATATCCTACAGTGAAGGATGTTATTCAAAATATATAGTAACTGTTATGGCACAAATACCAAGTCACTGGGAAAGACATAGGTGATAACAAGCTGTACACTCATACAGTCCACGTCAGCTGGACTTCAGGCTTCTTAGCTTGCTGCTCCAAGATACACACAGTCCATAACCATAACACACTCTCAAGAGCCCACAGATGCATTTTTATGATTGAATATTATATACTTCACAACCTACCTCACTCAAGCAAGAAAGGACCCCATGGATCTCCGTAAAGGAAATAAAACTGGATCACAGTTACACAGCCAGGAAGTTGACTACCTCTAATGGCCTCCTCTAGGGAAGGCACAACTACACAGGATGCAGATCTGTACTACACAGGGTAAGTACTAATGATCTATGTATGGCAAGACTGCTGATTACAACCCAATATACATTCTCCTCTCTCTGGCATTATAACTTAATATCTATTTTAGAATTGGGTGGCAATGTGCCCTGTTAAGAAGCTACATTTTCTATCCTCCCTTAAAGCTAGAACTGGTCAGTGTTAGATTACTGTCTGGGACTTGTGGAAAAGTTTTCTGAGGGAGCAGATGGGTATCACGTGCCCACACATCCCCCTTCCTCTTGTTTCCTGCCTGTAGAATGGATTTGATACCTGAAAATATAGCAGCCATCTTGGATGCCTAGAATTTCAGGAAACATTTTGGACAAGAGATAACTTCAAAATTGGAAGCCAAATATTATGGAACGATGGATCTAAACCATAACAACCTCAGATTCATAATGACACCATGGATTTTCCATGACAACCCACGAGTATTGAATTCTTTTATATGAAGGAGAAATACATGTCTATCTTTCTCAAAGCACTATTACTGGTCTCTGCTATTAGTTGTATAAAGAAATGTCCTAACTGATCCAAAGTGTAGCAGAAAAATATCAAAATATCTTAGAAAATCAAGTCTGCCCCCGTCCCAATACAGCAAAGTGGCAAGGCATAAGCCATAAATGATTTATAGGGACAGAGAGATGTGAAGCTTCTAATTTTTTGAACCAGTCATACAAATAGAGTAAATTAGGTTTTCTCCTTGCACTATTTCGGGATAGTATTTATCTTTCAAAAATAATCTACATTGCTTCCAGAGATTATAATTCAGTAATTAAAAATCATGTGAATTTAAAAAGAAAAATACTAGGAAGCATCAGTATATACCATCCTGACAGCAATATGTACATACATGTTTACATGTGTATGTTACTATATGACTTCTAATTATCATTGTGATATTGTTTTCAATGTGCTTGAACAGAGCAGTGAATTTCATTCATGATGGAGAAAACTTCAAAATCATTCATGCCATCTCTCCATAGGTTTTTAATTGAGCTAAATCTGAATATACCACAAAGAAGTGTTCTCTAAGCAGAATTGCAGAAAAAATTATCAATAAAATTCTCCCCTGCCTTTTTAAAAAAAATTGATGTAACTCTATTCTATGTTCAGAATTGAGAAAAGTCATCTGCTGCTACCTGGTTTTGTCTGGTAGAGGGTAACTAGAGGTTTGAGAGAAATGGTGGTAAAGAGGTTCTAGAATTCAGATTTCCCTCAAGGAATGTTATTATGTTGCTAAGCTAGGAAGTGTATCTTAACAACCAGGGAGCCAACAGGCTCCTTGGAGTGACTGGGAGAAACTGGAAGGAGACAGCTATATCTTTTGAAGGCATTAGAAAATAGCTGTTTCTGCCAATCAAAAATTCTCAGCTTAAGTACAAGGATTTAAGGAAATCAACAAAAACTCTGTCTGGTCCCATTATGAGGCTGGAAGGGTACCAACAGATTTGAGTTCATATTAACCAGATCATCTGTTTTACAAACTATTCTCAGGTATAATTTAAAATTCGTCATTTCAATTATTTTCTAATAGCTTAAGTTTGATTTACTGGATGGTACTCAAGTGATCTGGGTTTCAAGACATGTAAAAGTCAAATAAATCTGTTTAAAGGAAATGGGGTATTTAATTTTAAAAAGTAAGTCACCAGTTTTTTAGGGGATCATATAAATAAACATACTGAGTCTGTGGAGTGAAGATATTCTGAGAAATACATTTAGTTTATTTAACAAATATTGAGCATGTACTATGTAGCAGGCTGCTACATAGTACATGCTCAATACTTGATGTAGGTACTGTGAATACAAAGTGAAAACTGGGCTAGTTCAGTTTAAGCTAGCTCGCCTGCTTAATCACTATAAGGGAATATACGGAATGTAAAACTAAATAAATAAATAACATGAGGGGGTAATAAGTGCTATGAGAGATTAAGGAGAAAAAGGGTTAGAGTGTGATGGAGGTTGAGAGGGGTTAGGAAGCCTTTTGGAGAAAGTGTTATGTAGACAGAGATGAACACAGTGAGGGAAGAAGCCCAGGGAAGATCTGAATGGTGTGCATGGTAGGTTAGGGGATACAAAACGATTCAATATTCACCACCAAAATAATAAGCTTTATAACTCTATGAACTCATAATAATTTTCAGCTATCCCATTAATCAGATATCATATTCTCTCTTTCTAAGCATATGTTTTGCATATTGGACTAAGAATAGTAATATTTCATATACCTTTACATAGTGTTTTCTAAATAACAATGGCTCAGGCTGGGATTAGGCAGATTAGCAAGGCTTTTAAGACTTCCTCTTTTGAGGATTATGTGTCATTTATTCTAAGTAAAATTCAGTATTTTGATGATATAGAGGTAAAGAGACTATAAGAAAATATTGTTCCCAGAAGTATTTGCACAATTACTTGAATGACAAGCATTGATTTCAATTAAATTTTCCCACAGATGTACCTCAATATAGATTTTTCTTTTTCTTTTCAAAGTGAAAGCAGACTGTTAGCATCACAAGTGGAAGTATAAACAGAACTGAGCTACCTTTAGTCAGGATATCTCTTGGGGGGGGTATCCTTTAAGTCTGGAAGTCTCAGCCTTGGTTTTGCAACAGGAACAGTAAGGTAAGAGCCGAGATAGTTACTAAAATTTTCATATTTGCAATATACTTACTTCTAAAGGGAAATTAATGCAGAGCAGGGTAAGTTACCTAACATTCTCTTTTATGTACAGTGGAAATGCCTGTTCTTAACCTGATTGAAAAGATTAGTGTCAGAATCAGCTCTTGTGAGCAATGCTGACACACTAGGGTTGAGTCAGGACTTTTTAATACCCTGCTTCTCTATAATTTTGGGATTCATTCTCTAAAATCTGATCATGTCATAGGAATGTTGTCATTCGTATCATAGTGGGGAAAACAGTCTGAGAACTGCTTTTCCTATATCATAAAGCAAAATGCCCGTTAAGCTAAAATACTGGAAACAAGTGTGTAGATTTTATTCTCTGTATATATTCTATAACTATTATTTATCATAGGATTCTATCTGGACATTGGTAAATAATTAATGACACATTTTTAAAAGTAGACAAAACTTTGCTTCAGTTTATGGAATTCATCAATAATATTCATGGGTCCAATTTGCATTGATAGTAATCTCTAATATAGGTTTTAGCAAAAGTTTTAGTTTCTATCTTAGAAATAAGTATCTCTGATTCTCCAAGAAAAGACAATATTTATTCATCAATAAGTATATTATTTTATTTTTTCATATTTCTTGCCTTCTGAAAAAAAAGAGTTCATTCTGTGCGAGGATGAATGATCTTTTCATTACTTTTGAGTTTATAAGTTCTAAAAAGGTATCACTCAAACTTAACACTTATCATAAAAAGAAATCTGAAAAGAAAAATATTGCATTAAATCAATCCATGTACTTTGAAAAGATATCTAGTAAAGTCACTAGGTAATGAATAATTAATTGGATAAAGATTTTTTAAATCAATATAAGCATGAAGTTAGAGAAAGATGTGGGCCATTATTAGTGTTTAATCGACATAGTTTTGCTTTTCTTCAGGTTTAAGGTAGTTCTGTTTTTTCAATATTATCTTATTTGCTAGAATAATTCAAGATAAACCTTTATTCTGAATTATTCATTTACTGTATCTTTGAAGATTTAAGTTTAAACCAAAAAGCACACTGCCTTAATCCATTTTAGCTGCTATAACAAAATATCATAAACTGGGTCAATCATAAATAGACACTGATTTTCTCACAATTCTGAAGGTTGGGAAGTCAAAGATCAGGGCACCATCAGATTAAGGGCCTGGTGAGGGCCTACTTCCAGGTTCACAGATGGTACCTTCTCACTGCATTCTCACATGATGGGAAGGGTGGAGCAGCTCTCTGGGATATTTTTTATAGGGCACCAATTCTACTCATGAGGGTTATGCCCTCATGACCTAGTCATGTCCCAAAGGCTTCACCTCCTAATACTATCACATTAATGATTGGGCTCTGACACATTAATTTTGGAGGGACACATTCAGATCACAGCAAACAATAAATATTTTATACTTTGCAGAATTTTCAGGGATACACGTCACTAAAATATTTGTATATTACCTTTACTCCTAAACGTAATTTGTAAACAATAAAAAACTGTAACATCAAAATAAATTTTTTGTAAGCCAAAAGTAAGAGTTATTTTTCCTATCTGGAACCTTTTGTATAATCACGCCAGTAAATTCATTTAATCTGTATTGGGGTAAAAAGATACAACAGGCAATTTGGATGGTGATAATGACACTAAACTGGAATAAAAATTGGATTTATAGTCCCCTCTTTGCCTTTAACTAGCAAAGTGTCTTCAGATTAAGTAATTTACTGTCTAGATTTTAGCTACTCATCTGTAGTCTGATGGGATTCATTTATATGCCAACTGAAACATTCAGTTCTTCTAGTTCTTCTATGTGTGTTTGTCCCACATCAGTTCTTTAGGTGGGTCTAAATGGTAGTGACTTACTTTAAAATTTGGTATAACAGGTCAACAGTAAATCAATGCAGAGTGTTACAGTTTGGATATGAGGTATCACTCCAAAAGCTCCTGGGTTACTACAGCAATATTCAGAGGTAAAGGACTTGAAATATGAGTCAAAACCTAATCAGTCTGTCCTCTTTTGAATGACTGGGTGGTAACTGTGGGCAGGTAAAGCCCTGGCCCCTTCTCCCTACTCCTATCCCACCTCTGCTTCCTGCCTCTGCCATGAGGGGAGCAGCTTCCCTTTACAACATCCTACCCGCCATGATGTGCTGCCTCACCTTGAGTTGGTAGTCTACGGACTGGACTGTAGTTGGTAGTCTATTGTAGTTGGTAGTCTGTGGACTGAGAACTCTGATACTGTGAGCCAAAATAAACTTCTCTTCTTCTAAGTTGCTCTTGTCAGGTATTTTGGTTACAACAATGCTAATTTGACTAAAGCAGAGGGTTCTCTTTCTTCTCTTATGAAAATAGCAGTGCTTCCTTGAAGCCTGTAATTCATCTTGCTTTTATATTTTAATAAGATTCTACTAACATAAAAAGAATAAATCTAAAGTTTGATTATACCAAGAGGTTATACAAGGAATTTAGAACTAAACCCACATTGTGGTCGTCATAAGAAACAATAAAAACATACTTTTTATTATCAGAAAATTGTATCTTCTAAATATAATATTTAAATGTATTTTATCTAACATAATAATTTTAGAATTAATGTGTATCAAATTGAAATTCTTGAAAATCAGATGTTCTGTGGCAACAGGACTGGTAATTTATAGACTATATGCTCTAAACCCATACCCTGGAAAATCCAGACTATGATATAAAAAGATAGTCAACCAACTAAAAATACCCCACTCCAATAAAATCCTGATTTCAATTTCTACAACCTGGACTTGTTTTTTTGTTTTTTTTTTTTTTTTTTTTTTTTTTTTTTGCAACACTGGTTATTGAACCCAGGATGCTTTATCACTGAGCTACATCTCTGGCTCTTTTACTTTTATTTTTACTTTGGGGATAGGGGTCTTGCTAAGTTGCCCAGTCTGGCCTTGAACTTGCTCAGGTTGGCCTCTTTCTGCTCCAGCCTCCTGAGTAGCCAGGATTACAGGCCTGTGTCACCACAACTGGGAAGACTATGAACATGTTTTGACACTGCAAATTAGTCTGACCCAAAAAATCTCCTTGCCATAATTAGAAGTAATAGCATGTATTTCCAAATTTCACCACGATGAATTGGCATCTGTGTAAGATGAGAAATATATACAATAGCCACCAAAAAGTAAATTAATTAATTAAATAAAATCCTTCTTAGATTATAAGAGTAGTGTACCATCTTTAAGAAAGTAATGTCTTTCCTTTGCTCTCAATTCAAGAATTTTCTTTCCTACTCTATTGTGAATTCAGCAAGTAATAACATTATTTTTATTCTCCAAAACCTATGACACTGTAGGTATCTAATAAATGTTTGCTAAATGATTGAAAGGAAAAGTAAAAATTTCTGAATATTGCAAACAACAGTATGACAAAAGTTCTTAATTTTATTATCTATAGATATAGTGTTATTCTTTTGGAATTTTTCTCCTTCAGGTTATATCATCTTCTTAGAAGAAAATACAAATTTAAAATGCTAGACTTCTTTTTTTAAATTTTATTTATTTTATTTATTTTTGTATTTATTTTTTATTGTTGGTTGTTCAAAACATTACATAGTTCTTGGTATATCATATTTCACACTTTGATTCAAGTGGGTTATGAACTCCCATTTTTACCCCATATACAGATTGCAGAATCACATCAGTTACACTTCCATTGATTTACACATTGACATACTCATGTCTGTTGTATTCTGCTGCCTTTCCTATCCTCTACTATCCCTAGTCTTCTTAAATTATGCTATGAAATGTTTTCATTTAAAGTTAATTTTATGTAAAGCACATTTCTAGGCATTGTATTTTAAAGCCACCATTATAATTTACTAAGTCAAAATTGCTAATAATCATGTAATGTAATTTTTGGTTGGTAAGCCAACAAAGTAACTTTAAATGCAATTAAAGATTGAATATTTGTTACAAATTCTTTGATTTTCCAGAGGAAAATTTTTGTGTTCTACTCATACCTATACTATTTTTGTGGTTTACAAAAATCTGATCTGAAAGCAAATGCCTCATATTGTTTTGACATGAGAAGTAATTCAGTGCAAGGATGATGGGAAATATTTACTGTATAAGAAAATGTCAAAAATCTCTTGTGAGAACAATTTTTATTCTGTGATTTCAGGGTCTGAGCATAACTGAAACTAAGGTCAATCAATTTAGACCCCAAGGACTTTTTTGGCAACAGTGAAGGAGGTCAACCAACAGGTCATGCAAAGGAACTTCAAATCCCCAACTTCTGTTCTTCAATTTGAGAGCAAAAGCAACCCTATTGTGACTAGAAATGGGAGTTGTTTTCTAGTTAGGCATACTCCTCATCCCAGAAGAGTCTGCCATATCAAAGGTAAGGGGACTTAAGTTCCTAGGATGTGTCTCTTTCCTCCACATTTGGTTTACTTGATGATTCTGGTGAGTTAACAAAAAAAGGCAGCTATTCAAAATATTTAACCACTGGCAAAGCATGTTCGCTGACAATTAGGACCAAAAGCCAGCACCACAGCAAGTCTCTTTTCTGTTAGACATTAGCCATTGGATTGCTTGATTGTTAGGACAGGGGCCTGGAGAGGGGGGTCAAAGTCACGAGGACAATGGGGACCATTCAGGGGACTAAGGGTAGCATTGTCCAATTGGTTTAAAAGTATTTTAATATTTCAACTACAAGCGCAGCCTGCCATGTAATACGAGCCCTAAAGAAACATACCTTTTGTCTCTCCCTCCCTTCTTTCCTTTCTTTTTTATTCTTTCTTCCTTTAACTTTATGGAACAGGCGTTTGGGAAATTGGATGTTAATAACAATATCTTCTCAAAATTTAGCTTGGCTTGAATCATAAAAAGTGTATAGGTTTTACCAATATCTTGGCTTCTAGATGAAACAAAAAAGAGGTAGATTTTGTTTTGAGAGGTAGATTTCTCAAGATTATGAGTGTATGGAAAACAAGTAGAACTACTGGGACTTGTTAGAATGAACTTGTCACTTTGCCCAGGACGGGTAACTGTGGGACATTAAGGGAGTGTATAGCCTCAGCTGTTGGGCTTCATCATTAGATCCTCAGACCCACCCCTGAGATTCTCACTTACTAAATAAGAACCATTGTTTCAGTGAGCCCCCAGCAGATAGAAACATATCTTATTCCTGAAAAGTGAGATTATTATCATAATATAAATGAAACCATCTTTGTTGGAAAAAGCCCTGAACCTAGAAACAAAGAATATTAGGAGGCTGCTCAGCTGTCCAGACCCATCAGGACAAACATCCTTGTTCTGCAGTGGTACTGAGCAGAGGCAGAAAGACAAGGTACTGAGCTGACCTGACAAATATCTACTACAGACACTGTTTAATTCCACCTTGACCTTTTAGTGGCATTTGACAAAGTTAACTACTAATACTTTAATTCATCCCTCCCTTTCAACTGCCCTACCTCCTCCCTTCCTCCCTTCCATCCTTTTTTCTTTCCCTCCTTCATTTTTCCCCCACCCCAAATATTTTATTTAGCTTCTGTAGCATCATATGTTTCTAGGTTGTTGGTTTTTTCTCTATCCCTGTGGCTTCTACTTTCCAGCTTGCAGTAAAATCTTAGGTCAACCGTTGGCTATTTCCTCTTTGTAATCTATACTCTAATCCTAGGCAAATACACTCGTTCACACGTTTTAAATGTCATAGATAGGCAATAGTTTCCGATACACATCTAAAGTTCAGACCTAAATATTCAGCTGCCTACTTGTGAGGAATGGAATGCCTGATTGGAACCCTGAACTTGCTCTTCAAAACTAAACTCTTAGTCTTATCCCAGAAGTGTGGTCCCCCCAACTAGTATACACTAATAAACAAGTGGTTCCACAAATTTGAGGTTGCTCCTCACTCCTCCACCTTCTTCCCTTCCCTTGGCAATATTTCACTTGATGTTATCCCTTTTTCTCCTAAATGTTTAAAAAATTCTCTCTATGGTCATGTTCACAACTCCATTGCCATTACCTTTACCTTTGCTCTGATTCTTATTTTCATAATTTTCGTCCTTCTTGGTACTCCGTTTCCATTCTTACCCTTGTCCAATCCACTCATGATAGAGCAACCAAAAAGATAAACATTAAAATGTAAATTTGTTCAAAAATCCTATACCAAATCCTTCAGAGACTTGCTATGCATTTAGGATAAGATTGTTTATTTTGATATTAAATAAAATGTTCCCTATAATGTGGACTCTGATTATTTCTTATTTCTTATGGTATCTCATAAACCCATTATATACATGCCATATTGGACTTAAGTTCCTTGAACATCAACAAGCCTTTCCGGTGGATTTTAACACATTCTCCTCCCTCTAGCCATGAAACTTCCCTATTTTTTGTTGTTTCTATTTGTTAGTTATTGGTTTAAACATCACTTCAAAGAGACTTTCCAGGCTCCATATCCTCAATCTTAATTTGATTTTCCTACATGATGTTTTATCATAGTACCCTATATTTTTCTACAGAGCAATATTTTTGGATCAGATTCTTTGGAAAGAGACTCTGAAATGGAGATTTGGGTAGCTTTATTGGGGAGTGCTTTGGGGAGTAACAGCTGTGAAAAAACAAGGGAAGCAGAATCAGGCAGAAGTTGAACTGCCATACAAATATAACACAACAAAGGCCTCAACCGATCCCACATGGGGCATATGATCCTTCAGAGATATCTCAATTCCAGGCAAAGACACCATGCCTTTTGCTAACTCCTCATCCCCCACTCATTGGTTGAGCTCTTTGGGGCATGAGAGCTTCCTTTAACCAAGAGTAATTCCAAGAGAGGGACTTAGGCTTACTCAGAAGTAACTGATGGTCATGGCAGCTGGAGAGCTCAGCACATATATCCTTAGTCCATGTTCTAGGCAAGTGGTGGGTTTACTGTAGCGTACACTATAACAATAGTTGCAGCTTCTGATTATATATAATCTAGTGAAAGAAAAGAAATGGTCTGATATACTGAGATAGAACTAGTAAAATGTCTCTGAGAATAGAGAGAAACAATTTTGAAGAAAGGAAACAATAAATGGGATCACGATCAATACATATAAAAAATAAAAAATTTCCATCTGTTTTCCAAATTAGTAACCTCTTCTCTCCATTAAAGAGAATAGGAAGCATTTGAACCTATACACATAACTATCTTAATAGCTTACATTTGCTTGGTAGATTTCAAGCTATATTCTGATAAGTCTTAGAGATCCAGGCAAGAGACACAGAGTAAAATGATTCTAACAACAGAAACAGTAGGTAAAGAAGTTTGAGTATTATTATTGTGTTGCAAAAAGAAATATAAGCAAATGTCATAGCTGCTTTTACAATGTTTGCCAAAGCCAGATTGTGAGACCATGTATGTATCACTTATTAAGAGGCAAAAACACCACCAACAACAAAAACCCCAAACCTGTCCTTGCCATGGTAGCCATTACCTATCTCCAGGTTCTTCTTTTACTAAGGAGACTTTGTTCTTTCACTGAAAGAGAGCCTGGATTTCTGTGATTTCCCTTCTTCTCTGAGAAGCAACAGTGGCCACCTTAGCTGCATTTGAGGGCTTTTCAAGAAATCATTTATGATTTCTTGTCTAAGTATTTGACTAAATAAAATCCTTATGTTTGGTTTTCTTAGTCATTCATTTTCTTAGTCATTCATTCAACAAATAATCAAAGAGCACCTACTTTCTGATGGGCACTGTTCTAGGCGCTGGGAATGGAGAGCAAACAAACCAGACAGAATCCTTGCTTTTATGAAGCTTATGTTCTAGTGCAACTAAGACAAGCAATGTGCAAATAGGTAACAAAGTAACAAGTGCATTGAGAAAAAGAAAAGAACATAAGGAGACAGTGAGAAATGGACTGTATTTCAGACAGAGTTGTCGGCAAAGACATTTTTATGTCATCTGAGCAAATAAATAAGAAGAGGGCAGACTAGCAGTACTATGGGGAGATTTTGAAGACTGAATAAGCATGAAAACTCTAGTAGTTTTGCCTGGTAATTTCTTGGGGGATAAAGTAGCCATCTTTTATTATCTCTTATAACCCACTGATAATGAATCAATGTCCTGCACATTACCATTTCCTAAGCCGTCCAATTCCACATGACTTTGCATTGATATTGAAAAAAGAACTTCTGTATGATTTTACATTTGAGCAAATTTCTATATTTGAATCAAAAGCAAACAACTGTTAGAAGAAAGTAAATGAACCCAGAAGTCTCTGGTCAGGAGAGGTAAGGTCCCTTTGTACCAAGTTCTTTACTACCCTCACAATCTCCTTTATCCAGCCTCCTAGTCCTACCTCCAAAAGCTTTTTACCATCTGCTGGCAAAAAAATCTAGAGTATCTTTTTTAAAGGACTTGTTCTGGATGCTTTCAAAAATCTAAAATTTTACATTGGTGAGAGACTTGGGTGAAAGGATAAAAGCAGGCCTATTCATCTTAACTCTAAGACCAAGGTTAAAGATGTGGCCTGGTTCTTAAGGTTGATAAAATGCCAGAATATTTTAAGGAAGCATGTATTGCAAACAAAATTACCTATGCTAACTTTTGAAGAATAGCACCTAGCACTGGTTCATACATTTTGGAAGTCCAGTGGCTACACATTTAACAATACTTGGTTGAAAATTGCCAATATTTAAAGAAAAACTGCCTAAACCTTAATTTGTTTGCTTGATCTTTTTAATCTTATTCACCTAGGTTTGAATAACATTCCGATCTGTACTGTGAATGACGATGAGCTTGCTCTCGGAGCCCTATACGGTGTTAGCCAGTTTGACCAGTTAGAGAAGGATGAGATACCATTTGCCAAATGCAATTATCCACCGAGTCCTGCTGCCCCAGAGAGTCCTGTCAGAGAAGTGTCACCAGCCCAAAGCAGAGTCAAAATGCCCCCAAGACCTCATTCAGGTGAGTTGCTCTCAACTGATGGAATATCTTCTTGGATCTCCTACAAATTACTGGTGTGGTCCTATATGATTGCTAAAATGGCTGTAGTGATTTTTAAATAGAATTTTCTCACTATGAAATATGTTTTTCAGTATATAATTATTTCTCTCTTCTAACTTCAATTCAGTACTGCAATAACATTAATAAATATTATTACTATTATTGTGTCCAACATGTATTTGGCATGATTGTAGTCTCTAATCCCTATAAAACTAGCTAAGAGAAAGGGGATATGAATCTTTAAGCTGATACTAAAAGGGAAAATACATCAGTCAAAAAGCAAGTCCAGGAAACAGTATGGACAGAATTGCTTATTTACATCCCCACAGGACTATCATCTCCTTAAGGTCATGCCTTAGTGTCACTGCCTCCTGTGTTTTTGTCTTCTTGGTTTGTCCTCAGGTCCTAGCAGAATACTTTCTAAATGAAGCTGATAAACTTAATCAAAAGCAATGTGTGATAAAATCCAAAGGACAAGTACAATAGAAGAAAGGAATTCTGCATGGTAAAAATTATACCCAGTTCCCTCTTTCCTACTAAATATAAACACATGCTGTTACTAAAACTTTCAGAGTATATGCAAATTATTTTGGTATACTATAGTAAAATATATTTTTTCTAAAGTTAGTAAGAGTAATCATTTACAAAATACTTACTATGTGACACGTACCAATTCTAAGGTATTCACACTGGTTAATTCATTTTATTCTCTCAAGAATTCCTCCTCCACTCTTCTGTTGGCAATGAAGAGCTAAAGTCCGCTTATTCCACTTTCTTTCTAGTATTCCTTCCAATTCTGTAGCACCTGGAAACTTAAAAATTACATTTTCAAGACAGAGTGACTTCATAGGAATTAGTGAATTAGTAGTTGCAACCTAGTAAGATTTGTTAGTTGTAGGGGTAAGTTCATTTTTTTTTTTTGCTATATAATATCAAGCATAACTAGAAACTTGAATTTTCTAGCTACAGCATCCCAATATTCAGATTCTGCATTTATGGGTATAAACAAGCAAGGTCAGCAGATATTGTAGCTTTCTGACTATAATAGCATTCCAGTGCCTAATCTTCAGCATCATAAATGTGGGGCAGTAATTCAAGTGGCAGCAGCCTCCTGGTTCCCCTTCCTCTTGACTCTGTTAAAGGTTGTGCCTCCCAAGGTAGGTCAGGTCCAAGATGTTGCTCCTAGAGTAATTTGGAAAGGTTGAGATCAGTGTTCATAGCCCCAGTCCTTCCAACACTATTACAAACTCTTATTTATCTGTATTATTTACATTTTGGCTTAAAATTGAGTAGCTTTGATTTTCCATGAGTGAACACTAACATTACATACTCACCACAATTTTGTTTTCATTATTTGAGGAGAGATAACATTAAAGTTTATTTTTCTCTCTTTCTCTAGCTAGAATTAATGGATTTAGTTAGTACTATGAATGTGTACAAAATATTTTCATCTTAAAATGACTGTTGTGTTAATTAAGGCTTTGGTAAAAGATAGCATCACTTACACAGAATATGTCTTTAAATTAAAGTTCAGAAAATTTCAAGTGGTTTTAAGGCAGGGGGATTTAGTTCAATGGCCAAGTCAAAGTAGAGTTGAGAGACTAATGAAACAAGAAAAAATAAAGAAAGGATACAATAATAGGTCAGCACAAATATTCTCTGTCTTCAGGGAAACAAACACATAAATTCTATTCTAATTAGAGAATGTGACAGCTTGATGGGTATGAAACAGAGAAAAAACATGTTCTATTGTAAGATATGTACTTTTAAATCAGTTTAACTGAATTAAGAAAGCACTTACAGTGTATCTTTATATTATCAGTTTGGGAATAGAATTAATATTTTAATATAAATGCACTTTTCTTATGCTGTTATAATGAAATTCCACCTGAAATGTTTCCTAATATTTATATATACATCCTGGAGTTGAACTTAACCTAAAGTCAGATATACTCTCATATATTTCAGCAATTGACACCTTACATGATAGAAATTCTTTTTTAGTTTAATTTACATATATTTTTCCTAAACCTCATTTCAGAGCCCTGCAGAAAATTCAATGAGTGCTTCAAAACTTCCAGTGAAAATCCCTTAGTAATTAAAAAGGTAAAGAAACAACTATTTACAGCTATCTATTTAATTGGATTCTTTTTTTATTGGTTGTTCAAAACATTACAAAGCTCTTGACATATCATATTTCATACATTAGATTGAAGTGGGTTATGAACTCCCATTTTTACCCCAAATACAGATTGCAGAATCACATCGGTCACACATCCACATTTTTACATAATGCCATATTAGTAACTGTTGTATTCTGTTACCTTTCCTATCCTCAACTATCCCCCCTCCCCAGGGTCTTGTGCATGTGAGGCAAGCTCTCTACCAACTGAGCTATATCCCCAGTCCTTAATTGGATTCTGTCATTTCCTTTTCTTTTCTTCACATATCTTTCTGAAAAGTCACTACATTGCACAATATTTTTAAAGCTTTACTAAAATATAACTAACACAATATAAAAAGCATATATTCAAAATACACAAGTTGATTTGACACATCCAGGAAACTAGCACTCCAATCAAGAAAATCTACGTATATATGTGTGTATGTACGTATATATTAACCCCCAAAGTCTCCTCATGACCACAGCACTCCCAAAGCACTTTATATCACTTGGATTTAAAATTTTTATACAAATGAAATAAAATAATGAGTTCTCCTTTAAAATCTGATTTAATTCAGCACGATTATTTTAAGATTCATTCATGTTGTTTTGTGCATCAATAATTCATTCTTTTCTATTGCTGAGTAGTATTTAATTTTATGATTGTCTCACAATTTGTTTATCTGTTTGCCTATATTTTTAATATTTACAAAGCTAATATGAACATTTGTGTAAAACTCTTTCTATAGATATGTACTGTCTTTTCTTTTGGGAGTGGAATAACTTGAGTCTCATAGGAATTTTATGTTTAAACTTTTAAGAAATGGCCACTGTGTTTTCCAAAGTGGTTGTAGCATTTCACCTCCCACTGACAGTAAATAAGAATTTCCTTTCTTCTACAGACTTTCAAAACTTAGTTTTGGTCACTCTTTTTATTTTTAACAATTTAGCTGGTAAATAGTGGTAGTTTATTGTGGTTTTTATTTCCATTTTCTTAATGACTAATGAGGTTGACATCTTTTCATAATCTTATTTGTCATACATATATCCTTTTACAGGAAGTATATGTTCAAATCTTTTGCCTATTTTTGACATTGAGTTTTTGGTCTTTTGTTATAATTTATAAAATTTCTTTTTATATTTCAATTATAAATCTTATGTCACAACACATATGCACATTTTGCAAAAGTTTTCTTCTAGTATGATACTTGCTTATTTTGTGTATCAGTGTTTTTGAAAAAAAAACCCACAAAATTTATAATTTTGATAACACTGAAATGCATAATTTTTGTATTATAGTTTCAAATCTAGCTGGTGTTTATCTATATTGTACCTTATTGCAATGGCTGAACTTCTAGAACACTGTTGAACAGAAGTGATGAGAGCAGACATCCTTGCCTGGAGTCTGAACAAAGGGGAAAACATTCAGACTTTAGCCATTCAGTACAATAAAGTTTACTTTATTCACAGATGCATTTCATATGGTGGAAGAAATGTTTTTCTATTTATAGAGCTTTATCAGAAACAGGGGATGAATTTTGCCAAATGCATTTTCTTCGTATGAGATGATCACATAATCTTTCTTTTCAGTCTGTTAATATAATGAATTAATTACATGGGTTTAACTTTCAAACATTAAACCAACCTTGAATTCCTGGTGAAAACTTTATTTGGTTATGATATGCTATTCTTTTAAATATAAAATTTTAAAAAATATTTTGTTTATGTTCATGAACAATATTTGTAGGTTTTTTTTCTTTCTTTTCTTTTCTTTTTTTTTTTGGAGGGTGGGTGGCACGAATTGAACTCAGGGGCACTCAATCACTGAGCCACATCCCCAGCCCTATTTTGCATTTTATTTAGAGACAGGATCTCACTGAGTTGCTTAGCATTTCACTTTTACCAAGACTGGTTTTGAACTCCAGGTCCTCCTGCCTCAGACTTTTTCATGACTATATAATCTATACCAATGTTTGTTCTTTCATTACTTATATCAGTAATTTGTGTCTCTTTCTTGATGTGTCTAGTTAAAGATTTACCTGTTTAACTGATCTTCTTAAAGAACCAGAGTTTCAGACAGGCATAGTGACACACCCTGTGTAATCCTAGCTGCTCAGGAAACTAAGGCAAGGAGGATCATGAGTTCAAGCCAGCCTCAACAACTTATTGAGGCCCTAAGCAATTCACCTTCTCTCTAAATAAAATACAAAAGGACTAGGGATGTGGTCAGTGATTGAACACCCTGGGTTCAATCCCTAGTACCAAAAAAAAAAAAAAAGCAATTAGGATTTCATTTCATTGATTATCTCTATTGTTTCTTCAATTATATTTAATTGATTCTGGCTTCCACCTTTATATATGGTAAAAACTTTTTAAATTTTTTCTTTGACCCATGGATTACTTATTAATTCCACTCTAGTTAGAGAACACACTTTGCATTCTTTGAAACATTAAATTTATTGAGAATGGTTATATAAACCAAAGCATGGTCAATTAATTATTTTCCATTTTCCCATGACAATAATTTTTATTCTGCTGCTTTTGGGTACAATGTAATATAAACACCAATAGGTTATGTTGGTTGATATCATTGCCCAAGTCTTCTACAGTCATTACTGATTTCCTATCTACTTTTTCTATAAATTATTGAGGAAAGGATATTAAAATTTCTGACTATATTTATGGATTCCTATATTTCTCTTATCATTTCTGAAAATTTTAATCGTATATTTTTAACCTCTTATTAAGGAGTATAACTGTTAAGGTTTGCTATGTTCTTGGGATGAAATGATCTTTCTATCATTAAAAAATTACTATTTTTACTCCTGATACTATTCTTTGCCTTGAAATCTTTAGACTTCAGACTTTCTATTTCTTCTTGAATCAATTTTAGCAACACATCCTTTTTCTAAAAATTGTTATCTAAATTGTCAAATTTATTGGAAAAGTTATACATAATGCTCTTATAATCTTGTAAGAATATCTTCAGAATTTATAAGAGATACCCTTTTACAACATGTCATTATTTTTCTTCATTAATTTTAACAGAAGTTTTTATGTATTTTGATAGTGTATCAAAAACTTTGTGAATTTTTCATTCTCTGTTGAATATTTTTATTTTGTTGATTTTTCTTGTTATCATTTTGTATATTAACATACTTTATTTATTCTAACTTATTTTTCTAATATGTGTACTTTAAAGCTATAAATTAATATTTAAATATTGCTTTAGCTGCCTTCACAATTTTCACTAGTCAACATTTTTAGTAAGTTCAAAATATTTTCCAGTTCTCACTGTAATTTCTTATTTGGTTCAGGACCCAATTGTTGGTCATCTTGTATGAAACATTATTTGTAGGAATCTGAAACTCAAAGTAAATGTGTTTTTCCCAGAGGGTTTACTTCTGTAGGAACCAAGTTCTATCAGCTTAGACCAACTTAAACCAAGTTCCAACCTTGATTTCATTCTGTATTTCTTCAAGGATAGTCATTCACACACACACACACACACACACACACACACACACACACACACACATTATATATTATGAGTTTTATGTGATTTCAACAAAAGTTAATAATATATCACTATTTATTTTGTCTCCAAATACAAATGTTTGATAGAACTTAAAGGAGAATTAAAACTATCCTCCTTTTACTTTCATGGATCTCTCTTATTTACTAGAATGTTTCTCATTCATTTTATGTTTAATTTGCATAGAAGTAATGCATATTGATTATAATATACTTTTTATTTAGGAAGAAATTAAGGTTAAAAAGTCACCATCACCTCCAAATGCATGCTATACTGCTGGATCCTGCTCTTCAGAGGCAATGAGCACCAAGGCTGATGTCAAAGAGAACACTGTTTGCATACCAAACTATCTGGATCAAGAAATAAAGGTAAAAGGCAGGTTTATTAAATCCATAACTTGGGAATAACATGAACATAACAAAAAAAACTCATATAACTATTGTGATTAAAACTTAAGAATGGTTCCTTATTGAAACCTGAATATTTAAAACTACTTAGTCTGAAATGCAAGGCCTGTTCATGTTTTCATTTCTAATCATTTTACTTGTCCCTGGAATTTTGTCACTCATACATAAACACAAGCTTTGGTTTAGATGTAATAAAAAGATGGGCATTTACCAACCAAACCAGCCCAATTCTTCCCATGACATTATTTTCCTAAAACTTGAGAGGCACTATCCCTAATTTCTTGCCACTTTTGTCTATTTCCTTGTTATATATTAAGGCAAATGTTCTTCCAATCATGTCTCCCTTCTTATTTTTGGAAATTTTCCACAAGTATTTTCTGCCTGAAGTTATAAAGTTAGTTATATTAATAGTTGTCACATTAGACTAGAGGGTTCTCCTCAGTCACAGTTATTTCTGACAATGACATATGATCAAGGATAATAAACTATCTGATATTTTTTATCTGCTATTTTTTTTCTTTTCTTTGAATCACTTTGGTACATACCACATTGCCTCATTGTAAGACCCACTACAATGAATTAAAGGTCAAAAGTATTGTATTGATGACTCTAATATAATTTTAAATAATCAGTATTTATCATAACAGTTATACATAACAAAACATGTTGTAAAGAAGGTCATTGAATAATTCTAACAAGGAACTATTTAAAAATAAAGTAGAACAATGTTATAGAAATAAGCAGTGTTATTAATATAATAATTTATGTGATGACTGTATTGGGAAAAATAATAAAAGAAAAGATGATGTTCTAACTAAAGATAGTATACAGAGTCTTCAAAATCACCACCCACCTTACCTATAAAATTATGGCCACACTGATGTTTTCTATAATATGCTCATTTCTACCTCATAGGCTTATCCTCATAAGCATTCTTTTGCCCTTGATCCTCTGTGTAGTCACTTTCTCATTCAAGTTTCAGTTTAAATAACACTCAGAAATATTTTGCCTGACCACCCAATCTAATGTAGCTACCCAGTCATCCTCAATGACATTACCCTTTGTTATTTGAGCATAACATATGCCTTATTTGAACTGTTTGCATTTATTTATTTGTTTCAGTATTGTCTCTCTTTCCTCACCCCAGAAGTTGAGTCCTAGAAGATCTCATAGTTGTCCATCTTGTTTACTACTTCCTCTTCAGGGCCTAGATGAGTGCTAAAAATCTGATAATTATAAATAAGTTTTTGTTGAATGTTAAATAAGTAAAACACGAGAAATATTCAACCAAGACCAAGGTAAATTTGTAGAAAATTAACTACATGGGGTTGACCCTAACAATTAGAAGCTGAATGCAGTTTTAGTGAGACTGTCTTGCTTCTTTGGGCACATCAATAGACTAAAAAAAATCTTATAGATGGAACTTTAGAGGTATCTATTAAAAAGCATTCCTCTTAAAGGCATCTGCCATGTTATAGACATAAGTTTAACTGGACTCTGATTGATTAAAAAAACCTACTAAAATGTAAACTCTTTGAAGATAGGCATCTTATATTCACAACTGATTCCTCAGCCCTCATCACTGCTTGAAAAATATTAATGGGCACATACAGCATGGCATTTTACTAGATAGTTGTTGACTATTTGTTAAATAAATTAAGAAAGAGGGAACAAAATAAAAACAGGTCTTATTAAGACTTTTGGTTTGTGTAGAAGAGTAACTGAAAGTTTAGACAGGAGGCATTGGAAATATAACTCACAATTCTTAAATTATATATGAAGTGGTATAATATTAATTCAAGGGACACTATGATATGTTAGGATGAATATTTTAATCCTAGAGCAACAAAAAAAGTATGGCTGAAAAGCTAATGAAGCAAATAAAGTTGAATGCTTAAAAATACTTGATTGATCCAAAAGGAAGCAGAAAAAATAAAAAGTAGAACAAAAATAGAAGAGAATTTTTTAAAAAGTGACAAGATGGTACACTTAAACCCATGCAAAAACAGGCTAAAAACTCCAATAAAAAGACAGATTGATAGACTATATAATAACTTTTAACAAAGGCCACTGCTTCAGCCTCTTTCAGATTCCCATTAGAACCCCAAGGAACAGTAGGAAAGGACCACTTTCCCAGAAGAAGTGAGTTTCTCCTATAGAAGGTGTTGGAACTGACATAACAAGAGAAACACATAGCATTGCCTAGTCTAAACTATTACTTACACTGGTAATGTTTTTGCTAAAATTATTTTGTACTTTTTGAAAATGGGGTCCTGAACTAAGATCCCACTTGAGTTAGTTGATTATCATGGACGCGGGGAGATGAGATATGAAGAAAGTAAAGGAAATGTTTTAAGACTTGTATAATTTTTTTGCTCACCCTGTAACTCTAATTAATGTTCTCTGTCAGATCTTGGCAAAGCTCTGTGACATTTTACATACTGATTCTCTGGCAGAAGTTACACAGTGGCTGCTTCATGCAAGTACAAAAGGTGAGATCAATATAAGTATTTGTAGATACTGAGATTCGGTTAATGAAAGAAACTGGGAATATGCCAATATCTGAAGTTTTCTACCTTGGATTTTCAAAGATAAGGCTGCAATTGTTTCTTCCATGTTTCAGCGTCAGAATCATTACAGTACTGTATTTCCAACTGCAGGCATGCTGGTCATTTAATGAACCCCAAATACAGTATGTTTCCAGCTGAACTCATTGGGATGATATGAAACACCTATGACTAGAGAAGACCTTATTCTCAGTTAGAGCTGGTTTGGGCTTCTGTTCCAAATTCCACACCCCTAGAACTGTCCCTGAGCACATCCTATCACCTACTGCGAATTCTGAACATAGGGCCTGTTTCTCTTTTTTAGTATGGATGGCAGTAACATAGCTTTCCCAGTTTTGGACTCAGTTAACAACTCTGTCTTTTTTTACCCAAACCATCAACATAGTTATATCTCAGCCTCCTTTGGGCTCTTAACACCTATCCCATGAAAATGCCTAAAATTCCCAACAAGCAGGGAGACCAAAAGTGACACAGAGCAGCTATCCTGAAACTAAACTGGCCATCAGACTGACTAGAGCAAAACTTCTAAAGAGAATCTGCATTATCAGGTATCCTTAAATTTTTACAGCAGCCTATAAAGCTTTTGTACTCAATATTTTTAAATTATTCCACTGCTATTCAAAGACAGTGACTTAACTACCCTGAGCACTGTACAGTATCATAGGTCGACAGAAACTAGGTTGAAATGAATGAACTTTTCTGCAGCAACATTGACTCACATATAGTTACCTACCTGGAGAACAGATCGCCAGCCTTCACACTGGTGTGCTAGAAATAAGTACTAAGTCTGTGCTTCTAGCTAACATGATAATGACAACTTCCACTCTCCAACTTTTTTTTTTTTAAATCAGAAAAAGAGTGGATCTCAGCTTTGATTCATTCTGAGCTGGCTGAGATACATTTATTGAGTCGCCACAGAAGAAACACCCCAGTGGAACCAGCAGGAGAGACTGGGAAGCCATCTGCAGTTAAATCACCCACTAGGATCAAATCTCCCCCAAATTCACCTGCAAAGTCAAAGGTGCTGACTGGAGCTAAGGATGGATATCAACCAACCAGGTAATTAGATATGGTCACTTAAAGGGCCTATAGTTATATAAAGGGTTTGAGTTCTCTTGTTTATCTGTCAAAATGCTAAATATGCTGAGGTTCAAGTCTCAACTCTGCTCAGTAAATGATTGCAATATGTGTGTTTTCTTTCATTTTTATATGGAACATGAGAATTGTTCTCAAGTCTACTGTTCAGAATATTTTAGCAGGGGCTATGTCTTCTTTATCCAATAACCTTTTTTTTTTTTTT